TGTTCCAAGAAACTGCCCTTTAAGCTGTGCTCATACATGTTTGGAGTTAAAACAAATATAGTTTTCAACTTTTACTGTCATTTGACACTAACTCCTATTTAGGCCTCTATTAGCAAGTGGGACAGAGTACAGGTGTATTGACAGGGGAGATAAAGACTCCAGTAGAGTGCAGGGTAACTGGAACTGGGGTGGCTTTTTCCAGCACACAGCTTTAATGCTGAAACCAGAGCAGCAGCATCCTGCACAAAGGCTTAACCGTGTTGTGCTGCTTGTGGTTCATCTATAATGAATCAAAGGTGTAGCGTTCACGTGCTGTTTGCACAACAGAACATGCAAATTACCAAATTTGTCCCCACACGAGTCAACACTTCACTACCGGTTTCTTCCAACCACAATATGTGTTAGCGTGCTCAGGTGCTATTTAAATGCAATGAAGAGAGGGCTCAAGCCGTGATGATTTCATCAGCAATGTACTTTTAGAAGTTTCCAAGTTAAATGTATGCTTGGAAAGGTAAAGTTGCACTTTTTTATTACTCTGAGATCCATTGAAAGTTGCAGCCATATGTAGAATGGCTTGCTGTAGACTTTTTGAAGGGTCAGAGCTAATGTAAGATGAGATCTCAGCCTGTATTGAGAACTATTAAACCTGATCTTAAATGGCTGGTGTGATGAAGATAAATCAGGCATTCATTTGCTTAATATATGTGCCAAATTGGCCAAAAATAAGGATGGCACTGATTCAGTTAGCCTCACTGAAATGAATGAATGATACTGTATGATTAAAGGTGAACATGCAGAGACACGTCTTATACATTTGTGTGCAGCTACTGTAGCTTAAAATGCTTTCAGATGTTCCATGTCATGTTAGTTTTTAATTTAACCATCATGTCTCTTTTAGGATCTCAAAGACCACACTGCCCCTTTAATATCTTGAAAAACATACAGCTTTAATTTTTGCTGTATTAAATTATTTGACAGATATACAAACTCCTGATGGATTAATTGATTGATTTATAGATAACAATTTTTCAAAAACATATATAATATATTATATTAAAGTAATAAAATAATATCTGCCTGCTTGAAATATCTGCCTTTTGGGCACAAGAATATATGAATAATTTTAGGGGGAACATTTTTATATTAATAAATAGGTTAATAATTATATTATATTATATTATATTATATTATATTATATTATATTATATTATATTATATTATTAGTTTATTTAAATGTACAATTTTAAAATATAAGGCATTCCAACGTAAAAACAGACCATAAGGAAACTGAACAATACACTGAGACATAAATGCATGCTGAACTGAAGCCAAAACAAAAATGCCGTTCTGTAGCCCTCTAAAGCCATTTTTTACACCCATTTTGAGACTCTTACATAACTTTGTGCTGCATAAATACCCCAGCTAGTAAATGTGTTTTCCTCCCTGCCTGTTGGTGTGTTTATCTGTCTGCCTATCTAAAACTTCAAAGTTTAGGAGAGGAAAGAGGGAAAGAGAGGAAACGGGTGAAATTGAAGGTGGCAGAGAGAGAGAGAGAGAGAGAAGCAGAGGGGAGGAGTAAAATAAACTGAGAAAATGAGGAGGGGAAAAGAAGAATCTATGATCTGGCCAGACTAGGGAGACAGGCTCATCCCGGCGCTCTCATGGACTGTGAAAGCTCAGTGCTGGTGTTTGAGCACTTGACAATGTTATCAGCTCTGACAGCCAGATTGTGTTTTCACATGAGTGTGATCAGCAACAGATTACACACGTATACTCACGCACACACTCAAACACTAACAGCCTTGCTTGTTCCTGTTTGCCAAAGAAAATGTGTTGATGTTTATCGTGCTCTTAAAATAAAATGAAATAGAGGCCTTGTCCTTCTATCCTCCTGAACACTACTTATGTCTGACTGAAGATAATAAGACACACGTGGGTAACTACCGGGCTCCCGAAAAGAAAACAACGTAGGCGGGATTGTTGTCAGCCGCTAACATTGTGTATTTATCTTCCATCTCCTTACATCTGCTCATTACAAACATGAACAGATGAGGCCGAAACCTCAAAATTACCTTTCTCTGAAAAGCCTCTTGTATGTGTATACGAAATGACATAACTGCTACTGGGCACTTTCCTTGTGGCTTTGAACTTACTGGAAATCGGATTGTTGCTCCTGAGTGATGGCAAGCAGGTCCGACAGTCTGGTAGGGATCGACAACCAAGGAAAACAAAAGGGAGAATAATGTATACAGAATGTGTCTTTCTGTTTGTAAATTAGGTCAGGAAAACTAACTAATCTTTACAGTTTTATGATTCCATTGACAGAAACCCCCTTTTGAGATAGAGTAAAGTGCCTTTGGGGAAATTCTAACAGGCAAATTTTAACATTTTAACAACCTCATTAGTCAGCTCTACTGCACAATGTTTAGTAGACTGAACTAATGCAGTTAAATTTACCAATCCAAAATCAAATCAAATATATTTAAAATGTGTAAAATAAATAATACACATATAAAATATTTTAAAATATATTAAATGCTCTTATATATTTATTTTATATCTTAAAATGTGTGTGTATATCTATCCATATAAAGAGAATGGCAGAAAATGGCTGGAAACAAATTGTAAATATTTACCTGCAAATGTTGCAATAAAGGTTATTTCCTGCATGCCAGAAAAAGAATAACAGTAATGGATTATTTGTGGTTAAAACTGCAAATGCTTATGCAGATCTAAGTCAGCCAGGTCACCATCAATGATATACGGTATAGTTGCTGTAGTTACTGTTGTTTCTGTTTCTCTTCCTGTTCTTTATCTAGTTTACCTAAGACATGAATATGCAAGAGGCAGTTCAGTAACATTGTTAATATATTTATTTATTCCTTTTGTAGTTCCCCCAGCCATGCAGTGTATCTTGAACACTGTGCCTAGATATAGCTATTAACACAGAAAGAATTTCTCTCTCTCTCTTTGTGTCTCTTCACCAGGTGCCAACTAAACAAACAAAACCGCACTCTGAAACCTAAGAGGGTCTTCCTGGTAAAACTGTGTGCTGGAGCTGGAAGAACTGAAGCAATTGTGAACACAGTGGGTATAACATAATATACATGCTATTCAAATAGACGTAACAGTTAATAAAAATGATACTGTGGCCTACTGATCCTGAGGCTAAAGACATTTTCATTGACTCATATAGCTGACTGGCCAAATGTGAGGAAATGTCCATGTAAATATATGGTGAATCAGAGAATCTGATGAAACTTAGCATGTGCTATCATATAGCTGGTGGGACCGAAGCTGTATTGATCAAGATATTGAAATTACCAATAAAAATGCAATTCAAGATTACAGTATCTTGTGACCCAGAAGTGGGTTCCCACGGAAGCTGATACTGCTGTGTCCAGTTACAGTCTGTCAGGCAGATTAGCAGGTTTTATTAATTCATTAACTGATTTCATGTTTTACCTCTACCTCTGGTTTGTTTGTCAGTGGCTCCAGTGGTGCTTAACGTTAAATCTAAGGCAATAGCTTCATGAAGCAATGAAATATCTGCATGACGAAATTCAGATGACCACTTTAAGATGGGGAACTGAAAAAAACAGCAATATGATAGTTTCTATTCCTTTATCAACCTTTAAACGTGAATTCAATCATTATTTCTAAACATTCACGGGGTGGTCTTTGGCATGGAGAGCTTTGGTGATAGCAACCAAGGTTTCTCTAATTATCCTCTCTTGATTCCTCAGTTAGATGCATTAAAATGGTTTTATGGTGGGACAGATCTGTCTGTGATTTATTCATGTTTAGCATGTGTTACAGTACTTATCTTCAGTGAGAAGGAAGCTCATTTAAATATATGGCGAGAAGATTGGGCTGTGAGAGGGCACTAATCTATGGAGGCTTATATGAATCTAGTGCTAGGAGAAATTATCGCTCTATACAGTTTTTGAGTTGGCTATTTTTTTTTTCTCCATAGACTGACAAAGTCCTTTATGTTACTTTATAGATTCTTCAGATTGGATTTATTACAGCCGTACTGCATACATTGTTTTCGAAAGAACTAGAGAATAAAAAGTTCTGTGAACCTTAAGAGTTCCCCTACACTCTCAAAAAAAAAAAAAAAAAAAAAAGGGTTTTTTATGCTTACATCGAACAATATCTTTGTTTCCATTGATTTAACTAACCTTACAATGTTTCAGCTTGATTTTCTTTATTGCTAATTTAATTCAAAGTTATTGAAAACATGCAATGAACCTATATCACTGCAGGTTTTCACTTTGAATATACTTCAAATAAGACAGAAAATAAACTTCAGTTTTACATTTTAATGGGCTGAAATATTTTACAGTATTTATTGCATCAGGCTAGGGTTGGGTCTAGTGTAATTATACATTTAAGAGCTAAATAATAATTAATTACATGTACTTATTATAGGGTTAGGGTTGTAGGATGAGGGTTTGGTTTAGGTTTAGTTGTATGTAATTATGCATCATTTATTGTTATTACAACAGTAAGTAGCCTACATGTAATTTCTAACAAGGACGCCGTAAAAATAAAGTGTTACCATATACCTGTATATCTCTATAACCTACAACAAATAACATAATATACTGTATAGTAAAATATTCAGTTTAAATAAATTAAAAATATCATTAAAAGTCACAAAACTAAAAGTAGCCTAGGCTACCTCTGTGTCTGTGCACACTTTGATTATACACAGTGTGATTTGACTTTATCAGGTAGAAGATAAAAGCGCATTAATGTTGCGCTTCTTTCATTAAAACACTGGAGTGATGTTAGCCCGTCCCCCTTGAAGAGTAAACCCGATTATTTGCCCTGCGTAGACAGTCAGAGACACACAGAGAGAGAGAGAGAGAGAGAGAGAGAGAGAGAGAGAGAGAGAGAGAGAGAGAGAGAGAGAGAGAGAGAGAGAGAGAGAGAGAGAGAGAGAGAGAGAGAGAGAGAGAGAGAGAGAGAGAGAGAGAGAGAGAGAGAGAGAGAGAGAGAGAGAGAGAGAGAGAGGCGCGGAGCTCAACATCATCAGGCGCAATAACGGCTTAATCATTCCTCACCGTGGACGACCGACACCAACCTCAGCATCTTAAACGCTTTATTAGACACAAGAAAAGAAACACGCATTAAGAAAACGACACTTTTCCTGTGGTGCTGGTGATTTTTGGTGGATTTTAAGTGTGAAGCGGTGAAGTCCACCCGGCGGCTCAACACCTTCCGTCACACCGCAGGACAAACTTCACCGGACACACTTCAGACGCACCATGAAGTAAGTGACACTGATACCGGAGACCGGTGCGTATTTGTTCGTTGATAAGCCTACATTATGTGACATTGTTGGTGAACAATAATTCGATGAGTTTATATCTCCGTTATTTCGCGAGAACACATAGGAAAGTGTTACAGAATCTCCGTTAAGAAAGTTGACCTGACAACACACGTTATTTCTGTGACTGCTGACAGGACAATCACTATTAGTGTTTCTTTGTGTTGAGGGGTTTTTAAAGAGAACAAAACAGGCGCGTGCTTTTTGGGTTCTTTTAAAGTGCTTTATCAGCTCGCAGAATAATCCGACACACTTTACAGCGCTCATGTATGAATTTACAGTTACTGCCGTTGTGCATATAGTAAAAGAGCTGTCTGGTGATGTATAGAGGTCCAAGGGTCATAAGCCGATAAATGTTGTGTTGAATTAACAGGCGCTCAAATATGAACTTGCATTCGCCTCATTGACACTATTCACTATTTTTATATGCAGGTAAATCAAGCGCTACAGTCGAAAATTGAATTAGACCAACTCTGCTAGTATATCCATACATCAATAAAACTAAAGAAAAAATGACAGCTTCATGAAAAGCAACGTTAGTAATTCACTAAATATTCTACTACATCAACTCAAGCTAAGAGACTTTATCCGTTTATTATATTGCCAAAAGTCCATAGTTTTCAGTTTTATGAGAGTAAGCTATATAATTGGTTACTTTTCTCAGTAAGCTTAAACTTAAGATTGTATTAGCTTAAAACAAGTTTATATACATACAAACTTGTGAGTTTATAGCCTATATATATAGAGAGAGAGAGAGAGAGAGAGAGAGAGAGAGAGATTTCTAAATAAATCTAGAGTGAAGATGAGGACCAGATTTACAATTTACAATTTCCTGCTACCATAATGAATTAAAGTGTTTATCAAGACAAAAAAAAAGTGTTTTTTTTTATATATGTATTTAAATGTGGCCTTTGGAATGACATGAATCTGTGTAGGAAACATTTTTATATCAGTTTTTCAGGAGTTATTGTAAGAAGCTGTTATAATCTAATTACATTTTGAAATGACTAATTAAGCTGGTAGTTGCAACAAAAAAGAGAGAATCTGCATACTTTTACAAGCAAAGGTGAAGATAGATACAGATGTAAATGAAAGAATGAGATTGTTTAATTAACAGGAGAATTATTTTTTGGCACTTTTTTATGTCTTAACATATTTTTTTCTAGCATTCCTGTACTTAACCATGAAAGAATATAATAGGTTACTTGTCATAGTTTTTGTTTTAACAGTTTCAGTAGCACTGCAAATTTTCAAATAGAGGTACAATTTCTCCATGCAAAAGGGTATTGTATTTCTGTCACTTCTACCTCATGTTCACTCTCTTTCAGACTATACTGTCGGACATGCAAAACACAATCAATGAAGCTCCTGTATATATATATATATATATATATATGTGTGTGTGTCTGTGTGTGTGTGTATATATATATATATATATATATATATATATATGTCATTTAAGACGTGTACCAAAAGTCAAGAAGACCCTCACCAAAGCTCAGAAAACCCCTCCAAAAAGATGAAACCTGCATTAAGTAAAAAAAAGACACAACATTGCATTTCTTGCTTTCATATATGTATTAAAAGTGAAATATCTACACTGTATATGTGTGTATGGACGTGTGTGTGAGTCTCACCTGTTGCTCTTCTGGGATTTAGTGTTTGCTTAATCTGCCCAAGAGGAAAATGAACACACTCGCATGTGGACTCGTATGATTACACTCAGAGGGTCCTCTCATAGCCATGCACATATACACACAAACACGAGCGGTCCTCCTCAGACCTGTCGTCTCTAGGAAATCACTAGGGATTAGGCTTCTGTCGATTCACAAAACCAACAGTGACAAAATGGCCTTACAATTCTCCCAAAGAGGGATCAGCTCTCCACGTGTCACTCTGATTGGCTGAGGTACTTGAGCCGATTGTCAGGGGGATTTACAGGCACAGTTTGTGTGCCCCTCCGAAGCACAAATTTACACTAGATTGTACTGTCCAAGGAAAATGATAGGTGAAATACACTTCTTTTGCTGTCAGTTAAAGAAAGCATGTGCAGTGTAATGAATGATTATTCATCTTCAAGCAAAGGCAGGCGTTATGCAAAAAAAATATGTAGTAATTAATTTTAAGTAATAGTCATTAATCTAAATGTGTTCTAATTTTCCCCCAAACATTTGCCACTATCTCCCAGTAAGTTTCATGAGCTCACAGAGAAAGAAAAAAGCCTTTACTTTCGTTGTAACTCTTCAGCAATAATAATAAAAAATAATATCAGCCCATTTTATTACACAGCAGTGTGTTAATTTTGAATCTGTGAAGTCAAACATTTTCTCATTTCGTTTTTTCCATTCTCTCTTAGCTTCATTTACTAGGCTAAAAATTAGTTTAATAAAGCAAATAAACCAGCTTCAGATAAGTCATTATTACCCTCAAAGAGGTTATGATGTTTGGCATTAGATGAACGTACCCAGCACACACGAGTCTGTCCTGCTTTTTGCATAATGAATTTAACTTTGCTTCTGTCTCTATTTTGTAATTAGCAGTGACGCTTGGCAACTTTCTTTCTCGCTGTAAAGTGGAAGGTGGTGTATGGAGTTGATTCACCAGAGTGCTGCTCAATCACAGAGGAATAGTCCTGCCTTTGATGTTTAATTATATTGTGAAAAGAATATTTTTGCATAAAATTGAATTTTTCAGCTGAGCCTTCTCTGTTCTAAAGATCTGCTGTGGGCTTACGTGGTATGTACCGAACACACAGTAATTATTATGTATGCTGTAGAAGTCTGCGTGTATGTGCCTGGAAATAGTTCAGAGAGTTGTGTATGTGCATTTGCGTGATATGAGAAAAACTATATTTCACTGTGTATTTATAAGCGAGCAGATGATAGAAAGCTGGTAGAGGCTGCCACGAGGAGGCTGCGATGACAGACAAGTCAGTGTGCGTACATACGCCGAATGAATGTGCGCAACATATCACGCTGCGAACATGAAAGAAGTGCTGTTCCAAAAAAAATCAGATGGGTAAAGGTGACTCCTGTTTCATATAAACTCCTCTTCAGCTTTGGGTGGTCCAGCAGGGAGCCTCTTCTGGCCTTCCTCTCCTTAAACATCCAAGCACTTCCACTTTGTTCAGTATCTTAGTGAAACAGAGCACATTTTAAGCTAGATAATGGTTCACAGAACAGTAAAAACTGTTCAGGAAAAGGTTCATCCCTAGCTCATTTTATCTAGTCATGCATATTTGATGCAATCCAGCATTTGTGTGTTTATGTGTTTTTTGTTTTTTTTTGGATGTCGCACTTCTGTTAGAGTTGGCGATTGAAAATATGCAGTTGAAGAACCAGTTCAGAGACTTCACACTTTCAGATTTAATGCAAAAAAAAAAATTAAATACATCCGGTCAAGTTTCTAAGTCTTGATGGCAACCAACTTTTCTTTAACCATCTGGATTTGCGTTTGCCGACTCCGTGCTTAAACACTGGAGACGGAGAGTGCATTTCATGATAAAGCACAGTGGCACAGTGTGTGCATCTCGCTTCACAGCAGCAGTATTGTTCAGGTTAAAATTGGTCACTGTCTTATTTTTGGATCAGAGTGGCTCATGGTTTATAAATAGATGAGGAAAGCAAGGAAGATACCTGCCGAGACTCTGGTGAGCTCTGCTGTCCCCCCACCGCCCAATATTCATGTTGTGAATATCATGCTCTCCCTATACAGAATTTGATATGTGTGGTTTTAACAGGAACTTATTAAATGGAAAATAGTCATATGACTATATGTTAGGCTTGCGACAGAGCTTGGTTTATGGTCTTCTCGGTTGGCAAAGAGAAGGTAGTGTGCGAAGTGAAGAGAGCGAAAATAGTGCGTAGGCATGGAGTGTAATCTAATAGGGCGATGTACACATCATGGAATATTTTTAGAAGTGAAGTGCTAATTTTATTTCTTCATTACAAACATGAGCTGTTTATGAACATTAAAGTATTTTCCCACTTCCAGTAGAATACAATGTAATGTAATTAAAAAAAAAAGGATTTGTCAGGAACCTAAAAGAGTCTTTTATGTGAATGTAAACAAATATAAAAAAAAATATTAATAAAACTCAATCAGCCTAACTACACCAGATTGCACCAAGTCAGTTTTGAGCGTTAAACAGATCCTTAAGATAACATACATTAAGGTAAATTAACCTGAGGTTAAACTGCATATTACCTCTTTACTGTTTTACTTTTAGTGTGTGTTAAATTCAGTGAATTAAAATTTCGAGGTACTTTGCTAAGCAAATAGTTCAGTTTGTTTACTTTGTTTTCAAATGTGTACAGTACCATTCAAAGGCAGTGAGATTTATATTAATTACTTTTATTCAGCAATGATGCATTAAATTGATAGTAGAAAGTGATAGAAAGTGCATGCCAATAAAGACATTTATAATATTACAAAATATTTCTGCTGAAAATTCAGCTTTGCCATCACAGGAATAAATTATATTTAATTAATTTAATTTATTTATTTAAATAAAATATATTTGAATAGAAAACAGTTATTTAAAATAGCAAAACTATTTCACAATATTACTGTTTTTACTGTATTACAATCAAATTAAAGCAGCACTCCTGAGTGTAAGAGAATCCTTCAAAAACCACTGTATGTTTGATTAAAACAAACCTCAGTGTAAAGAGCTATGCACTTAGCACATTACGACGTCCCCAGTCCTGTTGCTAACTGTTAAGATTGTGAATTAATGATGTGGCATGATTGAATTTGACTCGGCAAACATTCCTGCTAGCTCGCCCTAGATTCCCGCTGGTGTCTCTCTAGAGGGGTTGTGTATTGGACCTCTGGACTCTACGTTAGCACCTGTAGACCGCAGAGAGGCCTGAACATGGGCCTGACACCTTGGTTAGATTAGAACAACTTTAACCGTAGCGTCTGAAGTTACAGTGCTGTTG